CCATTGCCCCAGCCCCATAAAGATCTTTCTTTCTTTCCTTTTTTTTTTTTTTTGGTTTTTGGAGACAGGGTTTCTCTGTGGCTTTGGAGTCTGTCCTGGAACTAGCTCTGTAGACCAGGCTGGTCTCGAACTCACAGAGATCCATCTGCCTCTATCTCCCGAGTGCTGGGATTAAGTTGTGCACCACCACCGCCCGGCAAACTTTCTAAAACCTCAAGCAGATCGTGTTTTTCCTGCTCAGAAATCCATGGCGCACTCTTGCACTAGGGTTGAAGAAGTTCAAGGAAGTCAGCGCAGCCCTTGCTCTGTCTTTCTGTGCATTCTTTGAATCATGGGATCGTGCTCTGTCTCGGGGCCTTTGCTGTCTGTTCTACCTCTGGGCAGTGTTCCTTTTCTAGATTATCTCGTTTTTCTCTTCCTACATTCCATCCTGTGTTCTCTAGTAAAATCCAAGCTCTCTCCCCCAATCCGAAGAAAGGGTGGAGCATGGATGGAATGCCCGCCACCATTAAGTTCATATTAGGAGAAAGGGAGCAATAGCTGAGGCTTCAGCAGCGGACAGGACCCCAAGACCACATTTCCAAGGCCCCTTCCTGATGGACCCGGATCTGCCCTCCCCGGGGTGCTCCCCTATTCAGTTTTCCTCAGGTTCAAATCTGCTGTGAGAGCAGCACAGGTTTTGAGTTCCTCTGCCCAGACAGGTTTGGGACTTGAGGCCTACTTCACAGCCATAGGCTCTCTGGAGTCCTTAGCAAAAGAGTCCCCTCAGGAATTTGGTAAGCTTTCTTTGCAGCAAGTTCTGCTTGTGACCACACCTTTCCTAATATGGACTGTAGCAGCTTTATTGCTTTACTTCCTGTCTCCCATAGTTGTCTCTATCTTAATGTACTACACTGAGAGAGTGGCTGGGGGGGGCCTGCTGGGGTTGGGGGTGGGGTGGAGGCATCTGTCCATAGCTCCTGGGAACTGTCCCACCGCCTTTGCAGCAGGAAATATTTGCAATCTTGAGTGTTCTTCCAAGTTTGCTGAGGTTGGAATATGGAGTCTCTCCCAAAGGCTCTGGTTTAAAGATATGGTACCCAGTCCACAGTGCTCTTGGGAGGTGGTAGGACCTTTAAGTGGTGGAGCCTAGTGGAAGTTAGGCCACTGATGTTGTGAAACAGAAAATGATACCAGGACCCCAACCCTTCCTGGCCTTGAAATAAGTGTTGTGTTAACATGCTCCCTGCCATTGCCATCCTGGACCCCAGCAGAGGCCTAAAAACAATTAGTCTACAACATCATGGTTTTAGACTTCTAAAACCACGGGCTAAAATAGGCCATCACTTACAAGTTAATTATCTCCGTAGAAATTGAATAAGGAGGCTGTTAGTAGTTCACTTTTCAAACACTGGCAGGCCCCCCACTCCCTATCCTTTCTTGTTTACACACTGTAACTTGCATGAGCCACACACCCACCTGTCATTTACCCACCTGTCCATCCATCCATCCTTTTGTCCATTTATCCCTCATCCACCCATTTACCCTTCTCCTCACCCACCCAACTATTCCCTATCTGTCCATCTACCTTCCCATCTATCCATCCATTCATTCATCCATCTGTCCAGCCCATCTATCCATCACTCCACCCAACAGATATTTTTGTGCATTCTGTATTTGCTGGGCACTGAGTTAGATGCTTCGATGTTTCAGAAAGAGAAGCAAGCTGTGAGTTGTGTAGTGCTGGCCTGCAATCAAAGCACCTGGGAGGCTGAGGCAGGAGGATCAGGAATTAAAAGGCCCCAACAACAAAGCAATTTTGAGGCCAAATTTTTTTTTTTTTTTTTGTAAGATTCTGTCACAAAGCTGGGTGTGGCACGCCTTTAATCCCAGCACTCAGGAGGCAGGTGCAGGTGGATCTCTGTGAGTTCGAGGCCAGCCAGGTCTACATAGTTAGTTCCAGGACAGTCAGGGTTGTTAAGCAGAGAAACCCTGTCTTGAAGCCCCCCCAAAGATTCTGTCACAAAACAATATGAAACAAAACAAAAGGAAAACAAAGCACAGAAGATAGAATACAGGCTCTCATTGCTGGGGGTGGAGCTTGCATCCTAGCCAAAAAAAAAAAAAAAAAAAAAAGACAATGGATTGGATGACAAAGAATACAAAAGAAATATATTGTAAAAGAAGAAATGAAGGCTGGGGAAATACAGATCAGGGTAAGGGAGTCAGGAGAGGAGGCTGTAGCAATTTAAATGAGGGTGGAAGGATGGAAAGAAAGTTTCATTGAGAAGGAAACAGCTGGGTACAGGCCTGAAGATGTGGAGAGAACTAGGACCATACATGGCTCCCTTTACACAATGGGCAGAGGAAACAGTATTAACAAAGACCCCAAGGCAGAATAGGAGGAGGTTTATGGGAAACTGAGATTGAACTGTAATGGGAGAGAAGGTCAGAGACTATGGAAGGCCTCTAGTGTACTTAGGCACATTATGTATGTGCCGGCACAAAGCATCCTTTAAAAGCCTCCCCACCCCCCCAAGGTCTCATTATGACTGTCATTGTCAAACTCAGAGATCCACCTGTCTCTGCCTACTGAGTGCTGGGACCAGGCAGATAAAACACTAAACCTCTGATTCTCAAAAGAGGATCTCAAATTTGAGGCCAAAATGGTGGGCAGCACAGTGAGATCCTATTTCCTGTTTGCAGGAGGCTCGTTCCTCCTCTCCTCAGTCCCACACCATACCTGGCTGGGATACCCTCCCCACATTTCTCCCTCAGGAGGCTGACCTTCAGGAACAAATCTTCCAGGCCTTGTGGATCCCATCCTTTTAATCCATACATGTACTGAATCTCACCAGTCAGGTGTCAACCTAACTCCATGCTTCCTGACTCAGGTGTGCTCCCTGAGATAAACTGCTTCAAACAAGAAAGCTGTGACTTCGGCAGTGCTGTGTTTGCACTAACAGTGGGTGAGCTGATCCTCCTCTTTGGACCTGTCTTTGAGGCCCATTATTCTCTAGTTTTTTGTTAAGGACGGAGGATGCTGGGGATGGAACCAAGAGCCTTATGCTGAGGAAATGCTCCACTCATTAGGCTTTGCAATATCAGCAGACTGGCATGACTGCCCATGTTGTTGCCCTGCTTAACCCGATTGTCTGGGCTGCCAGCTGTCTTCTCTGTACACCAGAAGGGGCTGCTGGCCTGTAACCCACTCTTGCCAGAGCCTTACCCAGTAAGTTTTTAATCAGTTCCTGTTGGTGGGGCAGGGAAGCAAAAGGAGTCTCCTTGCTCTGAGTGTGTTTTTCTTGTGGGGACAAGAGTGGTGCACTCCTGGAACTTGTTCAGCAGGGAGAACCCTTGGCAACTGTGTGATTATGGCGTTGGAGGAATCTACCCCTCCTGCCTCAGTGTAATAACCTGAGTAGTTCTGAGATTCTTTTCATCTATTTATTTGTATAGACAGGGTTTATCTGTGTAGCCTTGGCTGTCCTGGAACTAGCTCTGTAGACCGGGCTGGCCTCGAGCTCAGAGATCTGCCTGCCTCTGCCTCCCGAGTGCTGGGATCTAAAGGTGTGTGTTGCCACCGCCTCCACCACCACCACCCAGCTGAGAATTTTTTTTAAAAAATTTTTTATTTATTTATTATGTATCCAACATTCTGCTTCCATGTATATCTGGACACCAGAAGAGGGTACCAGATCTCATAACGGATGGTTGTGAGCCACCATGTGGTTGCTGGGAATTGAACTCAGGACCTCTGGAAGAACAGTCAGTGCTCTTAACCTCTAAGCCATCTCTCCAGCCCCCCCCAGCTGAGAATTTTAACATTTAAGTTCTCTGCCCTAAATCCTACATTGATTCATTTTCCTGTGTTGGCTGACACATGCTGGTAGCGGGACTGACTTCCTAGAAATAGTTGCCTCAAGCTGTGAACATGGGGATTGCTGATCTGTCCCCACCAAGGTATAACTCAGGAATGATTCCATTGCTGGGAGAATGGACCCCTGAAAACTTACATGTGGTGCAACACGTACCAGAAAGACCATGCACTGATGCTTGACCCCCAGTAGTGTTGTAAGGTGGAACTTTAAGACATTTCTGGCCGGGCATTGTTGGCGCACGCCTTTAATCCCAGCACTTGGGAGGCAGAGGCAGGTGGATCTCTGCGAGTTCGAGGCTAGCCTCGTCTCCAGAGTGAGTGCCAGGATAAGCTCCAAAGCTACACAGAGAAACCCTGTCTCAAAAAACAAAACAAAACAAAAAAATACTCTGGGTCATGAGGGCTCAGCCCTTAGGCATGGGTTAATCATTATTGCACTGTTACTGTACAGGGTGTTTGGAAACACTCTTTTACTCTTCTGCTGCCTGTCACAAATTGTGCAATTAAGAAGCCAGATGTGACCCTTGACCTTGGACTCTCTAGTTTAGGGAATCCTAGAACCACACAGTAGACTAATACACAAGTGCTGCAGTGATCACCTGCTTTGAAAGCAAAGCCTCAAAGACCCAATGAATGGCCTTAGAGCCTCCTGAGTAGCCTGGGGTGTAGTGACTGAGGACAATACTAAAGACAGAAAGACCACCATCAACTGTTTGTCCCTATAAGGATTCGGGCATTATGCTGGCCTGCCCCTGTCACCTGGCAGAATGCACTCAGGCAGTGCCCTGGTCAGCCCAGGGGCCCGTCATTTTGTGGTCTGTATGCAGGCGCAAAGGGCCCCTTTGAAAGGCAGACCCTGCCCACTTATGCTCTCTTTTCCCACTTCTTTCTTGCTCTGTTCCCCTGGGGCAGACAGGGCTTTTCCTGTCTCCCTCTTCTCTTCTGTCCTCAGTGTCTCTTTACTTCTTTATTCCCCTGCTCCCTTTCCAATACAACTTCTCACTTAAGCTCTGTCTGCCTGGTATGTTTGTCTCCCACGTCAGTCACCCTTGCCAGCCATGGAATCTGCCAAGGTCTCCCACACAAGGTTCACCACACTTTATCATAACAGTCCCAAGGCACTGAAAGAGAACCAGAGAGCAACTTTGACAACCAGAAAAGCATCTTTAATATCTTGAAGCCATAGGACACAGCTGAAACCCCCAAGTGTGATCCTGGAGGTTGCAGTTAAAAGCTCAACCCACAGCCACGAAAGATTTTTGTGTATGAAACGTAGGGCATTGAGTGGAAGTAGGACCCTGAGTAAAAGGACTTGTGGAAGGTCTCGAACCAGCCCAAGTCCTGATCTGAGGAACAAGAGGTGAGTGGCCTGGTGCTCTAGGGGAGTGTTCCTGTTCTCAAGCCAGACTTCTTGATGTTGGCCATGTACTTTATAATTCAAGACAGAGCCCTATCTCGGTCCTTCAAAGGAATAAGGGAATCACTAAAAATTTTATCTATGTATTACTGATGTCATTTGTCTCCCAAAGTAGACATCTGACCACAGTATATGAGCTGGGAACCATCTAGAAGACAGGGACTAGACTAGTTTTGGATCCTGGGCTGTCTAGCTGTGTGGGTTGCAGGCTGGACTCCCTTAATCTGACCCTGTCCCTTCATCTGCAGAACAGGCCCAATAGCTGATATCGCTTGGGGCTTCCAGGAGAACTAAAATGGGGATAACACCAAAAGGGTTGCAACTGCTGTGCCTCTTACACAAGTCCTGATGGGTTAGGTCCCATTTAAGAGGAGCTGGCACGAGCAGATTCCCTGTGTTCTTGTTTTGGAAAACTTGCACTGCTGTGTTTTTCCAATGTTGGGCCAGGAATCCCCGAATGACCAACTTCAGGGCAAAGAGCAGCTCTTGTATCAGAGGCTAGTGTGGTACCATGACTACTACTAGGAATCCCTGTAAAGTTGTTGCCCAGGCAACGAGGAGGAGGCACAGACAGCAAAGTTGTCCAGACCTGGGCTGGGATCCTGATGCTAATTACCACTATTGTGCTGGGAGACCTCAGTCAGGCCATGGCAGCCTTCAGAGCTTAGACTCCCCTGAAGTGGGGCTGTCTCACTATGCAGGTAGTGCTTAGGACCAAGAAATAGGCTGGACACCAGGGAGGACTGCCTCCTAGATAACCTATCTCCCTTTATTCCTTCACTCTGGGGCTCCCTGACCTCGCTGTGCCTTAGTCTTTTATCAGTTACCAACAGGATCATGCAATGTGTCAAAAGTCAGAAAAGTGAGGGGGAGGATACAGGTCCCAAGACGAGCCTTGGCCCAGACACTACTGGTGGCAGGTTCAGAGAAGGAAAGGCACATGAGTTACTGCCTGTGTAGACTGGGCAAGGAAGGGAAACCCCAGAGTGAGATCTGACCACAGCACAGACCTACTGAAGGAACATGAAGCCTAGAGTGACCAGTGCCTAGCCATAGGCTCCTGAAGTGAGCCAGGACATGGAGGTTTGGGGGTGGGGTGGGGAGGCAGATGGGGTAGCACCAGAGTGGCCCAGTTGGGCAGTATTGGCCAAGAGAAAGAGGCAGAGATATGGTTCTTGCTGCACAGCAGGGCTGGCAAACCTCTGGAGCCTGGGCAGTGGGACTTTAAGGCTTCCAAGTCAGTGAGAATGCTCAGGCCACCATGCAGGGACTCGAAACAAGCCCACCGAGGAAGCCCAGCTACTCTACTTGGGTCGACATGATTCAGGACCCTCATTCAAGTACTGTGTTGCAGACACATTGCCATCATAGCTGGCAGAATACTGTCAGCAATGTCGTCCTAGAGGCCCAGGGTTTCTCTGGACCCTGAAAAGGAGTCCCTGGCAGACAGAGAAGGGCAGGGGAGGTATGCTGGGTTATCCTGGAATTCTAGGAGTCTGGAAACGGAACATCAAGGACAGGGTAACAGCCAGGAGTGCAGGAGGTAGGGAGATGCTGAGGGTGGGATCCATGCCCATGCCTGCAGTGGTGAGTGAGGCTCAAGGGTTCTGAGTATAAGGATTCCCAGCCAGGGTGCATGGCCTCCCGGTAGATTTCAATACTCCTGCAGAGTGGGAAGGTGTCTGTGCACAGATGTCTGGAGTGGCCTAAGCAGCAGTGGGGAGATGACCAGAAGCACAAGAGAGGATATAAAATGGATGTTTTGTGCCACCTTCCCACCCATCTCCAAGGTGACACCCAAGAAAGGCCTGGCAGTACAGCTGGAAGGCCAGAGAGGGCCAAGGATACTGCACTGCTCAGAAGACCAACACTATCCTCTGAACCGACCCCAGCAGATGGATCCATGGGAAGGCAGACCTTCAGACAGGGACCTTGTTTCCTTGTAGAACCCACATGAGAAGCCAAAATGTGTGGGTAACCAAGAAAAGGAAGACATTCACTGTCATCTGCCCTATGTCTGTGCTCATGTGTTGTTGGTGTGTATGCCCACAGATAGGCCTGGGCTAGAGCTGTACCCACTGCTCTCTCATACACCAGGAATGGTTGTCCTCTGTTGCCATTCCACTGCCTGTGCCAGGGCACAGAAGTCTGAGAAAGAGAAAGGGTTAGCACTGGCAGTGGCTAAGGCTTGGCACCCCCACCTTGGGAAGCTGGCACAGAGGGTTCCTGTTGTTCTTCTTGGCTCCGGGAACACCCTCCTCGTCTGCAGGAAGGACACAGCTCCAGGAGGCGGTGGCAGGGATTCTCCCTCACCCTCTTGCTGGTCTGAGCAGGGACCCAGTAGCTGGGCTAGATGGGATGTGCAGCTGGTGGAAGGAGGACCTCAGCAAAGCCATAGGGCCTCTGTGGGAAGAAGGGCTTGGCCACTTGTTCTGCTCTTCATTCCACTCTGGATATCCACACATCCTCAGCCAGCAGCTGGTCCCCAGATTCCTGCATGAGGGCTGCAGACAAGTGTCCTTGCAAAAATAACTCTGAGCCTGTCCCCATGGGAACAGGTTCCTGAGAGCACATGAGCTGGCCGAGGCCCACGTGGAAGGCCTACAGGGTGCACTCCTGCACACAGTGGCCTGGGTCATGGCTGAAGGCGCTCCAGGTACTGTGGCAGGGGGTTCTCCTTGACGTACTTTTGGATGTACCAGCAGGTGAGGTGGGCCTTCAGGTCTTCCTCCACCACGAAGTCCAGGGCGGCCTGGGCCAGCAGAGGGAGAACAGCTGTTAGACTGCAGCTTACTTGGGGGCTGTGGCCCATTGCAGTCCAAGATTGGTAGCCATCAGCTCTCTCTGTTACTTCCCCAGGGCCCCCAGGTGGCTACCTTCCCACTTTGCCTATATCAGAGTCAAGTTCCCTCCCTGATAACTAGGTTAACTCACAGACTAGTTTGTGGCCAGGTCTTATATGTAAGGGCATGAGGCCCAGGAAGACCCACAGGGAGGGGGAAAGAGAACTCCAATCTAGGAAAGCCAAAAGCAGGGAGTAAGGGAGAGACACAGGATTGGGAAACCAGCAGAAGGCTACGCTAGAAGCACAGGGGTGGGGGTTGCACCCAAAAGTCATTCTTTGTTTCACCTGTACTTTGTCCTCAGGCAGCCTGGGATTTTGAAGTGCTTGGGAAAGGCACGTGAAGGTAGAGGACCTGGGCATGAGCCCACTGACCTGGACACTCATTCACTTTGTATCATAAGGGTTTACTAAATAAGTAATGCATGCCAAGTCCTGATCCCAAGGCAGAGTCAGGCCTCAGGGACCCTATGCTCAGAATAGTGGCCATCTGCCACAGAAGGCCCAGGAGTATAATAAGCAATGTCCAAAAAGCTCTCCCACTGTCAACAGCAAACTCTGGCCAGATGGGCCTGTGAAGCTGTGGTCTAGACACAGACGACAGTTAGCCACCAATCAATCTTCCTTGCAAGGGAAAGGTGGCAGCTGCGTCTTGGTCTGCTACTCACCATACCTTGGCCAGGTGCTTGGCAATGCCACGGCCACGGTAAGCATCTGGAACCTCTGTATGCTGCAGGTCTACAATACGCTTGCCCACATACTCATAGAGCAGGACAGCCCGGTCGTGACATCCTGGAACAGGGGATAGAAATAGCTGAGGTGAAGCCGGGCATTGGTGGCGCAGGCCTTTAATATCAGCACTCGGGAGGCAGAGGCAGGCGGATCTCTGTGAGTTTGAGGCCAGCCTGGTCTACAGAGTGAGTGCCAGGACAGGCTCCAAAACAATACATTAAAAAACCCGTCTTGAAATACCAAAAATGGAAATAGCTGAGGTGTGGACTCCAGTGGTCCTCAGAGCATGGTTGTTCCTGGCAATTCCATGTGTAAAGAACAGTCTCTGGAGCCAGACTACCAGTGTGCTATAAGAGGTGAATTTGAATAACTCCTGTGCCTCGGTTTCCATATCCCCAGAGTAGGGGCATGATGGCATTCCTCAGAGGGCTGTGTGTAGGGCTTAATGGGGCATTCTCTGCTACAGGCTCAAGGTGGTACCAACAACACACAACCACCCATAAGCCCTTGCTACTGTCATTACTGGGACCCTAACCCTGTGTTCTCAGCTGACCCTCCCTTCCTCCCTAAGGTCCAGCACAGGACACAAGAGTCCAACAAACCCATGACTTCAGTGGAGGAGGATACAGGAGGCACTATCAGTCAGAACACAAGTCCTGCCCATCCCTCAGCCAAGACTCAAGCTGAATTAGAGTCCACAATGCACCAACATTAGGCACAGGAAGCAGGAACAAATAGTTATCCACCATCCTATCCCTGCCAGGACAAGAGTTCACCAGTCTACCAAAAGCTCTGCTGGCAAATGTTCCCAGGGAAGTTGCTCCAACCACAATTTGTAGCGCTGACTACCTATCCACTCATCCACCCATCCAGCCAATGTTACTGAGTCGCAAACACTTTTCAGGTGCTGGGCATACAGAAAGGAACAAGGATCTGCCCTCATGACTAAGGGGAGGAAAGATAAACAAGAAAAGCAAGTAGTGTATAACATATCAGTAGACAGGGAATGGGTGTGAGACACACTGGCTCGGGAGAGGTATCAGTAGAAACAGCTGTGCAAAGGCTCTGAGGCAGGACAGCGCCTTTACGAGGGAGTGAGAATGCTGGTGTGACTAGCTGGTGTGGACCAAGGGAGTGGGAAGTGACAGGGGCAGGTCCTGCAGTGCCTTCTTGGCTATCATAAACTAGGTCTGCAGTAGAGGGATGGAAGGTAACTCCTGGTTTCACAGAGTACCCTGGCTGCTGTGTGGCAATAATCTAGGGCAAAAGGATCCAGTGCAGCAGCAGCCTCAGTCCTGGTGGGCAGAGGAAGCCAGACTGTTCCAAAGGTGTCTGCTTTGGAGGACCTGCTGGCAGCTAGGGTGTGCTCAATGAGAAAAGAAGCCAAAGGGAAACCCAACATTTTTTAATTTGAAGGGACTGGTTAGGTATAAAGAAATGCTCAAGCTGGCACCGGGGAGAGGTAGAGAGACATTATGGCAGGGGTTGCCAGAGGGTTCTCAGGACAAAGACTGTCAGCTGGGAAGGGCACAGTTAAGGGAAGAGCAAAGGAAGAACAAGAGGTATGGGCAGGAGAGGTCCTGAGGCTGGAGCACATGGTTCCCTAGCGTTAAAATAAAACACGTTAATGCCTTTGCTTGTTTTTGATTTGGAGACAGGGTCTCAGGGAGCCTAGGCTGGTCTAGAACCTGCTAGCACTGGCCTTGAATGTGCTACTTTCTAAAAGAAAAGTGTCCTTCATGTATTTTAACTTCCAAACTAGCTGCATTTTGCATGTTCAAATTTTCATGTGCCTGGGTCCCCTGCCTGTACCAGGTGTCACAAGGGAAATGATAGGCACAGTGGAGAATCACATCCCACACACACTCTAGGCATCTTTGAGGGTTCTGCCCTTGGTGTCCTCACTCATGTCTCCCCCAAGTCCCAGGAGGGGACTATGATTCACCTTATTTCCAGAGCTAAACTCCTGAGACCCAAGTTATGCAACCACACAGGGGCTGAAGGCAGAGTGTAACCCAGGAACCCACTCTCCAAACTATGCTCTCTCCTTCTTTTCTTCTGAGACAGGGTCTCACAGTACCAAGCTGGCCTAGAACCCAGAGTGCTGCAATTATGGACATGCATCACCTTAGCCAGCCTCAGTGCTTTGGATCATGGAACTATGCCTCCTTCTTCCCACCTCCAGAGTTAGGATGCTCTCTCCCTTCTTGACTTGTTCTGGGGCTGTGCCCACTCCCTGGCAAAGGCCCAGCTGTAACCACCACAGCTACTCCCTGCAGCTGCAAGATGTGGGATCCAGGTCTGGGTCTGTACTTGGGGTCAATCAAGCTCATTAGAGATGGGAGTGCAGAGGGAAGCTGCTGTGGAACTAACCTGGTTACTGAGAGATCAGCCCATCTGTCCTGACCTCCCAGTTGACCCTAAGTCACTGACTGCCCACTATGTTCTGGCTGTGTTTGGAGTGTTAGGTGGGAGGCAGTGAACAAAACTGACATGGCACTCCTTCACATTTTAGTAGGGGAAACACAAATGATAGGATTCTCAGGAAATGGGCACAGAGAGCAGAGAAGGGGGACGGAGTAGGAGTGGGGGCTCTCGTTATAAAAAGGATTATCTGGCTCTTGTGCAAAAGACCTGAAGAAATGAGGGACACAGAACCTTTAGTGTGAGAAGTTCAGGTGGTGAGCACAGAAGTAAAGTCCTCATGATGCTCAGAATGACAAGGAAGCCAGAGTGGCTGGCCTGAGTGCATAAGGGACACACAGTGTAGGGAACCTGGTGATGGGGATCTTAGGGCCACCAAAAGACCAGCTTATGTTCCCAGCAGTCTTGGGGGACAGGGACCGAGCTCTTGCAAACTTGCCAGTACCTTCAGTTTCTTCCTGCTCTCAATCCCATGGAGCTTACTTAGCTTATGGGCAACCCAGGGATATCGCAGTGATTCTCTGCCTAGGCCTTTGGTGTCTGGTTGTCTTTATAGTCACCACCTTGCCCCCATAACCCCCAGGAAATATCTTTCAAAAACCTGCTTCTTCCTACCAGATGCTGAGACTAAAGGTGGACTAGTGGAAGCATATGGAAGCCCCAAGGCTAGACCCTGTGTCTTTAGCAGGATCCCCAGAGAACAGCCAAGTCCCCGGCAGGTGTCTGCTTAGACCTGCAGAAGTACACAGGCTTGATTTCAGATGTGCCAGCAGGCTCCAGCCACACCCTGACTGCAGTTCCTCCCTACAGCAGCCACTATAACTTTGGTTAGCTGCTTGCTCATTTTCCCACTTGCCACATCTATATACCCAGGGCCTCCCAGGTGGGCACTGCCTTCTCATTCCAGGTGTTCCCTCACTAAAGGCTTCTTCCTGCCCACCATCATGGGTCAGGATGACAGCTCATGTGGCACTGTCAGCTCTAACACCCCCCAACACCCATGCAATGGATGAGTGGTCCTACCACCTGGATTAGTGGTGACACAGTCTCAGTCTAGGTTAGGCTCTGAGTGACCCAGGCCTCAGATAGGCATGTTGGAGACAGTGCTGGGCACCCAGGAACTGGAGGAACCAGCTGGGCTCAGTTCTAGTATGTCTTCCTCCTTGTAAAGTAAGGGGTAGAGAGATTCTGGGAGGGATCTGAGGGAGCCTTTTTGTAACAAGTAGCTGTCCCAGAGGCTGGAGAGCTGTCTCGGCAGTTAAGAGGGCTTTCTGCTTTTACAGAGGACCCTCAGACCCCAGCACTCATGTCTGGCAGCTCACACC